CACCCCTTCTTCCTCAAGAAACGCTTTGAACATGCGTGCCGCGCCATCCCGTGCGCGCTTCGTGTTTGTCGGTGCGAGGTCGCTCAGACTCATCTTGCGTCGGAGGGGTCGGAGCTCGCGTGCTATTTGCAAAATAGGCCAATGAGTGGAGGTTTGTATGCCGATATCAATAACACAAGATGGGCCTTCGACCCGATATGTCGGAGCTGCCTCTTATCGACCTATACTGACCCTACCGTGCTTTGATTAGTCAAAATATTGGCACAGTCGATGTATGATTCGTCCAAATACGAGCTATCCTTTCTGATTGGCCATTAATACTAATATTTTATTTAAGTATGGTCGGAGAAATGATGATCTTCATCCATATGTGTCACCGCGTAATATCGGTGGTCAGGGAGCCGTTAGCGTAACATGAACCTATTAGGTAATGCAGGATTCTAACTAATTATACATAGAAATACTTTAGAAGTGTATTAATACCAGGTAACTTCTATGTTCGCAAATAAAACGCGAGCACTTTTTTGCTCATTTTGTACCCATGCGGCAAAACGGAGGTGCACGGAATTCGTAGCGTAAACCCCAAGCGGCAACGACCAAAGTTGTTCAGCATGCGTTTTTCCTCCGTGTGCGGTATTATACTCGCTATGGTCGCTACTTACTCGTGTCATCGATACGGGAGATAACGCCAAGTAGACGCCAACAGCCCGGGTCTCACTGAATGAGGAGCGATCGCGCGTTGGAGGGCCATCGTATTCTGCCGAGGGAACCTCCAATGACGTATGACCGAATTTCAAAGCATGGTTCAAGAAGACGTTCTCCTTTAAAGAAAAATGAAACAAGTCGACCTTGCAACTGATTTCGGAGAAGCGAACATGGGTGGTATCAACCACACCGTAAATCATTTCATGGTCACATGTAGTTTGAAAATAACTTGCTCATGCGCTACATGACAGTCTTACATTTCTGTAGCTGGCACATGGCTCCCAATAATATTAGGTTTCATTTCATCCTTTTATCAGAAGACGCTGATAATAGAATGAAAAACGGCAGCTTGGAGTCCAAGTTGGATAGCTCGCTGCATCACCTCTGTTTCTTAGGATCCGTGACACTCGACCAGTGAGCTGATACGAGACTTGCATAGAGAGTAGGTACGCACATATGCAAATGCGTAAATGCGTAGTACTCAAGTAAATGAGTAGATGAATAGAGAGAAGCAAAACTTACTCGAGAGTCGCGAGATGTTCAAGCAACTTTTTTTGGGAAGTTCGAACTGTCGTCTCAGAATAATGTTTGTGAGGCTTTACGAGATACTTCGAGTCGCTGCCGGTAAGCATTCGTAAAGCTCTGATACACAACATTAATTCAGTCTTAAAGCGTCGGGGATACTCCCTTGTTGCGAGCTCATGAGCGAAGTCGACTTGGTTCACGTCTTAAAATCTTCTTCTTGAACCATGCTTTGAAACTTGGCCACCAACTCGTTTTGGTCCCCTCCGAATACGATGGCCCTCCAACGCTCGCCGCTCGTTCCTCTTTCAGTGAGTGTCGGATATCGGGCATCTCCTTTCCCGGACCTGCAGGCATGGCATCGCAGATAGCAACCAGAACGATCATAGCGAGTAAAATACCGAGCACTTTGGTCCATCGCATTGTTGAGTGCTTTAATAGTTGCTGCTTGACTTTTACGATAGAAATTCCAAACTGATCCCAATCTCCGTATGGAGGCATTGTTGCAGCGCGTAATCTCGATGGTCATGTTCCGATGGACTTCGTGCAAAATGACAGAAGCCTAAAATAGAAACGTTGCTATTGCGTAAAAACGATTCTAATCGTACATCACACGATCACGGGTCCTGTACGGTGGGGCAATAACGGCATATATACTCGTACTTTGGAAGGGGGCCGCTCAGGCAGAACCGTTTGGGTCCTAAAGATTCCTTACCTTCTGCCATAGCGCGAGATTGAGTAAGACTAGCGTCCTGCAACACGATCTTCTACATGTCGTTCGAGCGCCAGGTCTCACTAATAGCACACAAGTTCGTCCTTCGGCTTCCCGTCGGCCTTTTAAGGCTCGAGCTCCTCTAAGAAGAGGATCTGGCGAGAATGTTGCTCTGTCTGGCGGCGAGTCAATAGGACGTGTACTTGTGCGTGGCCGTTTACGTGGGCTGGTAAGTACGCGAGCGCCATACAGAGGCGCCACCTGTGTAGTGCTCAGGCTTGATCATCGGCACGACGATCATTGAGCAATGCTAGATAAACTACTTTAGTGCCGTCTGCTACTTGAACACGTACACAAGGCATCCGTAACCGAGCACTGACGCCTCATGTTTATAATGCAGAGCGAGCGCTCAAAAGCTACGTTGCTACGCAGATGAAATATTAGCACCACTTCATAATATTTTCTGCTCAACCACTTCTACTAAAGGAAGACAGGAGCAAGACGCCGCGAGGAAATATTCAAGCTTGTTTTTAAATGTTTGAAACGCTTCAGGCAAATTGCACAAAGCGTTTATTTGGAATGCTGCATTTTTTCGGGTATCCGACGTTTGTATGCCTGGCATTTTGGCAGCCGGGAAATTCTTTGCATGAAGATTTTTTTAGAACACACCTGATTTGCTACAGTGGTCACGGTAATGAATCTCATTGAAATTATTTTGTGTGGAGTAATTGTTTTATTTCACACAGCAATTGATCTCCGTGGGAGTATTAATGAACTCCCATTAAATAGTGTTTGGTAAAATAAATCTCATTGCTATTATTTTATGTAGCCCTGAAATTAATCTCACATCTACATGTCTGCATAAATTATACCTGAAGGTAAAGTTTCAGTTGTTGGAATGTCACTGGACTGTACAGTGGCAGAGAGAATTATTAAAAAAAACATCATGAAATGAAGGAGGATTAGACACAAGTACGTGCAGTCATATAATTTAGAGCCACAGCCAATTGGTAAATAGAAACAGTGAAACTTTTCTTAAGTACGAACATCAGTGTTTACAGCCGAGCAACCAACGGATGCCAATTATTGGTTCAGAACATTCCACAGAACATACATCACCACAGACCTAACTCTAAAGGGACAATTGACACCCGATGCACTGCTGCTGCGGCACTTGAACTCACAATGCAGCGATTGGCTAGGGCGATCATTAACCACTGCACCATAAGCAAACCCGATAGTGAGTACATCACTAGAACCACAACTGAGATTATAAATGAACTCTGGAAAAGTTTGTTCACGTGAATTATTCTCAACAAACTTGAGTGAGAATATTTATTGTATGAGATTATTTATCAACTTAGATTAATTACCGTGACCACTGTAGACGTTTTTCGTAGAAGCAATAATTTACCTACGTCATTCTGACTAATTGGCTCACACAAACTACCGTCTTACCCCGCATATAAGGCATATGCGTTTTAAATAAAATACGGGATTCGCTCGACATCTACCGGTAGCTTAAACCTCAATTTGACCACCTACCTAATTAGAACACATGCGGCTGACACCTACTTAAAACACAAGGCTGTACCAACCAATGAATATTCTTGAGAGCTCCCAACCAACCACCCTTCTGAACAAACTTGTCGGTGCTGCTGTTACTTAGTTTTAATTCTCTTATTTTATAATTTACACAGCCATGAGTGCTGAGCGACGTAGCTATAGTATCCACGGGAAACTCGCTGTTCGAGCAGACTATCGGAAAGGCGTGAAAGGTCACGGCTTTGCTGCTCTTAGCAAGAGGCACAGCGTGGCGGTTGAGACAATTCGCGGGTGGCATCAGGAGGGTCAAGCCTAAACGACCAAGCCAGATTCCAGGACCCACAAACTTGCTTCTTCAAAGTAAAACAATTTGTTCGTTGTACAACACATAGGCTTTCTAAACGAATATAACACACAAGCACTGTTGTATTCATTTACAGCACATATGCCTTATATGCGGGGTAAGACGGTAGGAGGCTATCTACAAAGTGACAATATGTCCTCCCAACAACCTAGCTGTAATATCTTGATCGAGGTTACTTGAAATAAAATGCAGAGCCAGAAGCCACTAACGTTTGTTTCTGTTGGAAAATGGGGATCTGCTGAGCATAAGCGCTACCCCAGTTGAGAGGCGAGCATGTATGATTTTCAGAGCCCTCTGTGCTGTTCCCGCACTGGGTGCCAGATTTTTCTGGCAATCCGAATACAACAAATACGTAATTCAGCTAATTGCTTTCTTTCACACTGTAAAGAACAATTTCTACAGAGGCCACCATGCATTCAAATAAGTTCCGAGGCCACCATGCATTCAAGACTGCCCCAATAAGTCATTTTTCGTTAAGCGATTGGAATACGAGCTAAACCTGAATCAGACATACATGCAAGAGCAGCATGTCTTCATTCTTTTACAAAATCATGCTTGCGCTACAAACAAATAATAAGCTTTTTTTTTAAGAGCAATGGCCACAACAACAAAAATTTAAACCAAAAGCTAAAATAGTATTATCCACTCTCCCGTCTCTGGATTCGTTAACGCGAGCCAAAGCCACGCGAGTACGTAGGTTGAGTAAACGACAGCGATCCGATCGAAGTGCAAGGCTACTTCAATGTGGTTGTTTCGTTTTAGATGTGAATATTTCTCGTCTACACATGGATCGGCTGAAGCAGGCAAAGAAGAAGACTTGCCCCAGCGCCAAGCTCACAGCTACGAATGAGAAATTTAGCAAACCACGCAAAGGCAAGACAAGGCGTCCCAGTTTAATGTCGAGTGTTGACAAACTGTTTACGTCAAATGAAGTAAAGATGCGCAGCGCAACCTCTATAATCTTTTCATTTCACAATATATATAATAGGAGTTAAAACGTCTTTTCCAGTCGTGTTTTGCTTGAAATCCATAAGTTACTGTCATAATTTATTCAGCAAAATGTATTTCACCATACATCTCCAACAAGTCGCTTCCTCAACGTCATTCTTCAATTTGCCAAGTCTTGTGCCTTACTTCTTTTTCACTCCACCCATGGCAATTGAGCTCAAGGACTTGGCGCCGCTTCTCCTCAAGACGGAGCGCGCCAATGGCGACATCGATCCCTCGGTTCTAACCACCATATTGCGCGGCGGTCAGGTGGCCAATGACCGTCGCAAGGAGCTGCTACAAGTGATCGAGCGTCACCCAGTTCTCTCGGACCGCGACATGATGTACCGCAACCACACGGAGCGCTACAATTTCGGCGTCAAGAAGGCTTTCCACTACATCAAACTGTTGCAAGAAGGTGGCTACACGGACCCAGTGGATCAGCAGATTCTGTATTCCGCTATGGGAGAGCCCACGGCTATCGAAGTGCATCGCTCCATGTTCGTACCGACTCTAGAGAACCAGGGAAGTGACGAACAACGCGCCAAGTGGCTGCCACTTGCCAAGAGCTTTAAGATCCTTGGTGCTTACGCTCAAACGGAATTGGGGCACGGCTCCAATGTGCAAGGCATCGAGACTGTCGCTACATACGATAAAGCCACTCAGGAGTTCATTATTGACTCACCCACTCTGACAAGTCGCAAGTGGTGGCCTGGGGGTCTGGGCAAGACAGCCAATCACGCCATGGTGCATGCAAGGCTGTTTTTGAACGGGAAGGACGTGGGCGTACAGGCGTTCCTGGTGCAGATCCGGTCGTTGAAGAACCACGAGCCGATGTCCGGTGTGGAGGTGGGAGATATCGGCCCAAAAGTCGGATTCCAGCCCATTGACAACGGATACTGTGCCTTCCATAAAGTCCGCATTCCACGTGACAACATGATGATGAGGTATGCCAAGGTACTGCCTGACGGAACATTCGTAAGGCCTCAAAGCGACAAGCTCGTGTACCTGACTATGGTACAGATCCGAGCGTACTTGATCCGTTGGCTTGGACAAGGAATGGGAATGGCCACGACGATCACAACACGCTACAGTGCTGCACGTGTACAAGGCCGCAAAGATCCTGGGTCCTCGAAGGGAGAGTTCCAAGTACTGGACTATCAGAACCAGCAGCACGTCTTGTTCCCGTACATCGCCGTCTCGTACGCTGGCTTCTTTGCTGGTACGAGTCTAATTGCCATGCATGATTCTGCTCTGGAAATTGTCAAGAGAGGAGACTCGTCGTTTGTTTACATGCTGTATGCTCAGGACTCAAGGCGTGGCTGGCCAACCACGTGAGCGACGGCATAGAGAACTGTCGTCGTCTGTGTGGTGGACAAGGCTTCACCCACTCGAGTAATCTGGGTCACTTGTTCGCTGAGACTGTGGGTGCTTGTACGTACGAAGGAACGTTTGATGTGTTGGTGAACCAACACGGACGCTACCTTTTGAAAGCTCTGTACAGCGGCAGCCATCTCCCTGACAGTCCAACTGCATTTTTGGCGAATGCAAAGGCCCATTCGAATCCGAATCTGCGCTGCAAGGCTCAGAAGCCTCAGGATTTCGCTGACCTTCAACTGTTGCTTGAGGCATTCCGTGTCCGTGCAAGTCGCGCGATACTGACCCTGGCGGCAGAGATGAAGGCTAATAAGAACGACGCCAATGCGTGTATGGTACAGATCACGCGTGCGTCGACTGCTCACGCGGAGCTTCTTCTGGTCGAGGCGTTCGTCAACGGGTTGAGCTCGATCCCGTCTGGCAACGAGCGCCGGGCTGTGACGCATCTGTGCGAGCTCTTCGGTGTGTGGCTGATCACCAAGACTCTGGGTGACTTCCGTGAAGACGACTACATCTCTTCAAAGCAAGCTGGGATGGTTCGTCGTCAGCTTGTGAGTCTACTGCTCGTCATCCGCAAGAACTGTGTACTGTTGACAGATGCTTGGGATTTCACCGACTTCGAGCTGAACTCGACGATTGGCCGCTATGACGGCGATGTGTACCGTGCGCTGGTCCGTCGTGCGGCCGATGAGCCTCTGAATAAAACGCAAGTGCCCGAGTGCTACGAACAATTTCTCAAACCGCTTTTGCAATCAGCGCTGTGAGGAGCACGGGGGTGTTACGTGTTGAGCTTTTCCTGTTCTAAAAAACGTTTTTTTTTTTAAATTTGCAGTTCAAAGTGTTTATTTGTTTATGTTTGTATTCTATCAGCAGCCTTGTCGCCTTCTAAGCATCACATTCTTCCGAGCTTCCAGTTGCGTAGACTTGCACCCAGTAGTGCTTGCTGTAAGTGTTATCGTTGTACATATACGCCGTGCCCGCCATGGTGTACTTACCCAGCACGTTGTCGCGGCTTGCTCCCTTCATCCACCAGTCCACTACAGCATCTGAATTGGTGTTCCCTGCGTCAATACTTTCAGCCACGCTTTGCCACTTGTACCCAGCATCAGTGACACGTTGCTTCGGGGTCGAGTCGTCGGTTCCGGTGTCCGACACGTAGTCCGTCTTGGACTGGTCCTTGATGTGACGCAGTGCTGCAGCCTGCAGCTTCTTGTTCGAGCAAAGTGCTGGTAGGCCGTGGGCAGCGCGTTCCTTGTTGACACGAGCTAGTAGAGCGCTGGCCTGTGCGGCTGTCATTTCACTAAGGTTGCGGTTCGTTTGACGAAGGTTGGCGGCGTCGGAAACAGCGGCGAGACCGAGAAGAAGAAAGAGCGAGGACTGGACGATGGCGACCATGATTATTGAGTGGCGTTGTAATTGGAAGCGGATATTTGAAGAATGAGATGGCATCGCAAAGAGCGCGCGTCGGATTACATCTCTGATTTCATCAACCGTGCTCCGCCGCCACGAGATTCAACCAGTTGGAGATTGTCTCTTGGTAATGTGGTCTTGACTATAAATACAGTGTCTTTAGAGACGCAGAACTAGTGCCCCCCAGGTGTTATTTTACTAGGCACACACTCCTTACACGTATTACAAACGTCTGTCCCAGAACCATTCTGATAGTGCCGAGAAAAAATATTGGAGACTTCTTTCGGGCAACATCACGATATGCTTGTAGGCTGCACTTACAAGTGTGTACTAAATCAGGTTTGTTTCTCCGAAGTTTTTATGATCTATTGGCCTTGAATAGCACTCTGTATCGCTAGGGTGAGGACTTTATTGGTCTGATTCTTTCTAAGCGTTAATTTCTATGTACAGTAGGTCCTTGAAACTCTTATAGATTCCAATATCTCCAGCTTGCAAGTCCACCCAGGCACAACACACATCGAGCACTCTTCGAAGAGCACTTAGCTTTCACAGCCTTCGGTATGTGGGCTCTCATGCTGTCCCAAACCAAGCATTTACGTTCACCGTGCATCACAAATGGAATAGTCACATCAATCCACTTCTTGAGCAGCTCGCTATCAACCCAAGCTCGGGGTATAAATAATGGTCAGTAAGTTTGTAATACACTCCGCGACATAAGTTTTGTGACACCTATACTTTTAGCTGTATCTCGGCTTCTAGGTCGAATTAGACGACGCTTTTTAGATATGTTCCACCTATCAGATAGCGCAAAAGGGGGCTTGTGACGCCGATCTAGATTTCGTTGAGCTTCTATAGGCTGGCATACAACTAGCTAGAATTTGCACTGCGACAAAACTTTAGGACAAAAATGACTTAATTTCATTATTGAAATTATGTATCCATTTAGCTAGTAGTGTGTCTTGTCGCCATTCTTGCGAAGCAACGAGAAGGCATGGAGGCCATCAGATCCAGCAGCTCTTTCATCGTCACTAAACCCCACGCCTCCATGACAGCAATAATGAGTTCAGCTACAGAGCTGTACTGCTTTCCATGACTGTAGACCTTCCTAGCCAAAATTGCCCACACGTTTTTAATCGGATTGAGATCGGGTGAGCGAGCTGGTCAGTCAAGCAGCTGCACCCCGGTCTCCGTGAAAAACTCAGTCGTTGCGTACGAGGCGTGGATAGAGCGTTGTCTTGCATAAATACAAAATCCGTGCCGCAGTATTTGTCGGCAAATGGGAGCATATGCTCCGACACCGTAGTAGTGGCCAGAGTTCTGGCGCCCATCCAGAACCACCAGCTTCGACTTGCCTTTGACCCCGAAAGCTCCCCAAACCATTTGCGAGCCTCCCCCATTTTGTCAAGACGTGTAACGACGGGGAGGACGCCTCATATCATGCCAATAGTGTTTGTACCCATCTGGGCCGTCGAGATTAAGCTTTTTTCATCTGAGAAGATGATCATGGGCCAAACCACCTCCTTCTGCGCAGCCGTCGAGAGCCTCTCGGCAAATACTAGGCGCGCCTCCTTGTGCTCCTTTGTTAGAGGTAGCGTACGATCTATTTTAGAGTAGACTAGATAGTCTACCCAAGATAGAGGTCTCTGGATCGTATGCACCGAGAATGCCAAACCGTACGTGACCTTCAGCTCGGACGCCGAGTAGTCTCCTGTTGCGGCGCTGCGGACGACCTAGCGGACTTGGCGGTCTGTTAGGCTTGCCGGACGCCCCCCCCCCTCTTTTGGCTTTAGTGGTAGGTGCCCTCAGGGCGTAGATGACGCCATTCACCGACCGCTCAAGCCGTTGAGCGATCGCGCGGACACTCAAGCCTGCCTCGTGGAGGCCCTTCATGTGGCCACGCTCTTCGTCAGTGAAAAAGAAACCATTGCAGACCTCCAGTGATTACCGCGCGAGTATCCGTTGGGTAATAGGTGGACAAATGACAACACACAGGGCTATCGACTCGTGCCTGAAAGAGTAATTTCTTCCCTTTAACAGCCACTTAATGTATTGGGTGGTCCGTCGTGGCTCAACGACATGAAAATTCTAGTCACTGGAAACTTAGATAAAGCTGCTCTCACTCAAATAGCTGTATTGCTGTTTGGAACGCTGCACAAGATCGCAGTTTTGCGATGGAGACGGAAAATACGCACATCAATTGGTGATAGCCTCTTACTCACGGCTTACGATGAAGATGTGCATCATCGCCTATTTGAATATTTTGTTACTGCTCTTGCTCAAATTCTAGACAATAGCGCTGGCAATCTCCGATGGGGTGTAGCAAATGGTACGCAATGCTACATGAACTCTCTCGTTTGATATTCACTGAATTAAGCTCAAGACGCTCGTGCAGCAAGCGAAAATGCGGTAAACAACAGGCGACGTATCGTGGTTATTCCAAACCCACCGGCGTATATTACCGTTGTTCTAGTAGAAACCGAGGGATTCGACATCAGCGGTGAAAGATGGTCACCAGAAGCAAATCTTGGGACCGAAAATGATACTTGACCCTGATGGACGCTATCACCAATAAAAAGGTTTTTTTTTTTTCAATTGGCTTGCTTGCATCCAATCTTCCCATCTTGGCTCCAAGGTCGATCAACAGTTCGATTATATCATGTTGAATGCTGAGGGCTGGTGGTGGATTCAGGTGCACTCGGAGCTGGTACCGGCATCTAAAATGGTTGCGCTCGGGCATGCTTGGTAGTGCCCTCGGAATGTGCTGTTCTTTCGCACTTCTGTAATTGACCTACACCTATCAAGCCCGTTTTTACTAAGCTTATTATCTGCTGCTACAGCGACAGCCTGTCATTTTAAAGACGTTCCATATTTTTAGTGGTGCTACTCTCTACACTTCCGGAATCCGTTGTCGTCAATGCTCATAAGTCACTTGATTGTGTAGATGTTGTGACGAAAATTGAGTAAGTTGTCTCGGCGACATGAAGTGGTGAGAGGCACACAGTGTAATCCATCTGTAGTTTGGACGCGTGTAGTTCCAACGTATAAATGCTCAAAAGCTCAGACTGGCTTCGGTTGTGATCCTTCGAGTAACAGAGATACACGTTTCAACGTTGCTCCTCGAGCCTTCCAAACGGTTTGAACAAACGCGAATTCCACGTCGGGCGCACCACCACCTCAACCCCCCCCCCTCCTCCAATCAACTGCAAGCATTTCACCAACTTCGAGAGACGTCCGAGCAAACCTTGAAGTGCGAGAACCCGCCAAGGGCGAGACACAACCACTCAGCGCGCACCACTGGCTCCGAGAGCAACGATATCAACACCCAGCGCGCAGCACCAGCTCCGAGAGCTACGAGATCACCAACTGTGAGCCCTTTCCAAATTTACATTTACTTTTACTCTCCTCTGACAGGTCTGCTTTGTTTTATCAGATCAATATCACCGGACGAAGCTAATTGGGATACTGTATTTCCCGATAGTTACTTCAAGTGTATACCGGCTCGCCAGAAAATATTCGCTAACTTCGTCCGAGTTCTTGTGATGTGCAATGGACGAAGCTAAGACGAAGTTAGTGGGTACAGTAGTCCTCCCAGCCTAAAGCGTAGCACCCTATATCTTTAAAAAGAAAGCATGTTTGCTCTGATATATATATATATATTGGTGTTTCAACTTCTGTAAAATTAAAAACATACCCGGGTATTTATATCCGAAAAGCTAATACTGAGGAAGCATAATACAGTGAGACAATACCACGTCTATTTGATTAATAAAATGTACCTGTGTCGTGCTTAAGTACGCCTCTTTTATTTTTAAATGCTACACAAACAATCGTCGGAAACTAATCTTTGTCTGAATGGCGGGTAAATGAGGGCAATAGTTTTCTCAGGTACATAGGTGCCATGTAGGCAAGAGCACTTTAGATGACAGTAAGTTAGCGGGCGTCCGAGCTGTCCGTATTGAGAAACATAGCAGTCAGGTTTTCGTTGAAGTTCCTACCGGAAAATCATCTTCAGCCGTACAGCTTTTGTAGCCTTGCTCCCACCTAACTTGTTTCTCGGACAAACAAAAGCCACCACGCTTTAGAGCCGCAGCTCAATAATATCTGGCAGCGCATGAACAAGATTTGGCAGCTGTGCAAGCGCTATTAATCAAGTTGCGCACCTTACCCCAATCGGCATAATTGCGGTATGTACAATTTTTGTAAAACGATGTGGCCAATTCTTAACCCGCCGGCAACCGTTTGAGATAACCTTATTTTCACACGAACCGATTTGACCAACACATCAAGATTCCAACACAAAAAGACAGGGGCGGGGCAACAGACCCGGCCTTTTTGATAGACCCTGACCGTGGGGGCCCCAGGCTAGGGCTAATGGGGCTGACGCACCCGCGTCAGCCAAATGCAGTACGTGTTCGGAGGATGTGTGTTACTTGAATGTGACCCAAAAGTTGTTCGTTGTTTGGAAGCAAACATGGCTTCTGGCCTCAAGACGCCAGCCACCGCACCCTACACACCGCCATGGTCGGGCTGTCCTCTGCGCAGCTTCCGCCTATGAAGCTGTACGCTCGGGACACGATCACCTACTACACTCAGATGTATGTCGCCGGCGACCCCCGTGGCTACAGGACTGCTGTTGTTACGCGCGTGGATGATTCGCTCGACAAGGCGGCGGCCCCGATCGCTGTCACGACGGATGAGATCATCCCGCCAACCATGATGATCAAGAAGGTGCTAAATCGTGACGGTGAGGAGGTGAAGTGCCATTGGCGCAAATTACGCACGTACAAGCTTGTGTCGGGCGAGTTCCGGGCTGTATCCGACCGCACACGTTTTGCTGAGGCGGTTCAGAGCATCGTAACCGCTGCTTTTACGGGTGCCTTTATTGGCGACGATCAGACGCATTCCCTGACGTCCAGCTCCCCGACCACGGTTGCTGCGGCCGTTGCTCACGGTCTCACAGATGCGCACGAGTCCGATGAAAAGAATGCATACGAGGAAAAGGCGCCAGTCACCGTGGCAGCCGCTAAAACCAAGGGTAACACGAACCCCAAGTTGTCCGCGCTCAGTAAGCGACCCAGCTCCCCCCCTGGTCATTTGGTGGCACCTACGGCGCCACACAAGACTGGTGCCACCTCTGCGCAAGGCCATCCATCGCAGGAAATCTTGCAG